GGGGGGGTGCGAGTGGGCAGGGCTCATGGGCCATGAGACGCCGGGCACGCCGCCGGGTCACATCACCGCCGAGGACACCTAGGAGGCACTGCAAAGCGTGTACTGTGAATCTAGGGTGTCCAGTAGATTTTTGGGTCTTGCAACTACTCAAGTCGCTCAGTTCCTGGTCACCCCTAATTTATAAAGCATCGCCAGGGATGGCGCGGAAGTCTCTGGCAATATTTTTAACGCATGGTTCCTTCTTGTTACAGGATGACGGGGAGGTCCGGGCCCGGACCGGGCCGGTGTCGGGTCGGCGGCGCCCTCCTCGGGGTGCTCGCCGTCCTGGCGCTGGCGGCCGGCACCGCGCTCGCGCAGTGCCCCTGGCACCGCGACGTCAAGGAGCTGCAGTCGTCGTGCATCTGCGCCTACAACCTGGGCCAGGAGCTGTCCGTGCAGTGCGACATGGTGGACTTCCCGCGGCTGCTGGCCGCGCTGGACCGCTTCGCGCGCGACGCCTCGCTCGACCTGCTCTACGTCAACAACAGCACGGTGGGCGCGCTGGGCGACGACGCCTTCCGCCACCTGCGCCTCAAGAGCGTGCAGCTGTCGGGCTGCCGCATCCGCAGCATCGGCGCGAAAGTCTTCCGCCAGCAGGAGGGCACGCTCAAGAACCTCAACCTGCAGGACAACGAGCTGGGCGAGGTGCCGGTGGAGGCGCTGCGCGGCCTGCGCAACCTCACGCTGCTCGACCTGTCGCGCAACCGCATCGAGCGCGTGCCGAGCGGCGCCTTCGCCACGCTGCACGGCCTGGCCACGCTCAAGCTGGCCGACAACAACCTGTCGCTGGCCGTGGACGCCTTCCAGGGCCTCGAGGACACGCTCAAGAACCTCAACCTCAAGGGGACGCGGCAGAAGCGCGTGCCGGAGGCCATCAAGGGCCTGCGCACGCTCGCCTTCCTCGACCTGGCGCAGAACGGGCTGCGCGAGCTGCCGGGCCCCGCGGGCGCGCTCATCCTCGAGGGCTTGCACTCGCTGTCCGCCCTCAACCTGGAGCGCAACCTCATCCAGAGCGTCGGCGAGACCACCTTCCGCGGCGTCAAGGACACGCTCTCGTCGCTGTCGCTGCTCAACAACCTGCTCACCGAGTTCCCCGCCGCCGCCATCAGCAGCCTGCACGAGCTCAGGGTGAGTGCGCGAGGCGAGGGCCGAGTTTTCTTCCAGGGTACGCAGCAGCAGCGGCAGCCGGGTTCGACAGCAGTAGTGCAAGGCTGTGAGAGAGACGACGGCGCCGCGCTGGTTAAGCAAGCCAGGTCGAGGAAAGACGCCACATTCGGTAGGAAAGAAAGAAAAGGAGGAGAGCAACGGCGGCGAGATGGCGGAGGGAAGGAAAAGAAGTTTTGGGCGCACAATAGGGGGGGCGGGGCGGGGGCGCCCCGGGGCCCGCCTGCAGGCCTGCCCCCTTCCCACGCTCGATTACAGGGTGAAGCGTGCCCGCGCGGCCCCCTGCACCAGACCCCATTCCCTCCGCACCGGGCACCTAGTACAAGGTACCTATGGATATCCCGGTGCCCGGCCGGCCGCTGTAGGAAGTCTGCGCGAGCAGGGGGAAGCAGGGGGCCGATGTGTGCTCCGGCGTCCGGGAACAAGACCACGTCACTTCCGACACTTTGGTTCCATCTCGTTAAACTTCATTTATTGGTCGAAAAACGAAGTCGCCTTTCAGGGCGAACCATCGCAACGCGAAACTCAAACAGTTTTGCCACGGAGTTTAGTTTTGCTGCTATTTCGAATTTAAGACAAAATGGCCAAACCAATGGAGGTCACTGAACCATCCCCGAGCTCCCTCGACTCGTCGTCGAGTAGTTCTGGGTACCCGGCCCGCCGCCAGCCGCGGCGCCGCGCCGCGCCGCGCCGGTTGGGGAAGGTCCTCCCAAGGAGAACGGGTTGGAGAGAATCGGTTGGTTTCGAAGGTTCCGAGTATAGCAGAAGCGTAGCACGAGGTGGAGGACCCCGACTAAATTCCAGCTTGCGCGTGAAAATGCGAGGGGCCTAACGCGGCGGCGGCATAGCAGGCGGCCGGCGGGTGGTGTAGCGGCGGCGAGCTTGCAGGATTTCCGCGAACGGCTCGCCCCCCCTGGCACGCCGCGTATTATGGTTACCGCACCGCTGTGTTTTACTGCGACGCCACGCCCCGCCACGCCCCGCCACGCCCCGCCACGCCCCGCCACGCCACGGCCTGCAGCAGCGGTCAGCGCGGAGAGAGAATTCCTGGATGCGCTCTCCGCGCTGCGCTGCGCTGCGCCGTGCTCGTTAACGCGGCTGGTGGCGCAGGCCGGCGCGCCGGGGCCCAGCGGCATTAGTGCCCGTGATTAGGGTATTCCTACTCCGCGAGCCGCGCGCGAGCAGAGGCCGGATAAGCCAACAACCCGAGGCGTCCGCGAGGCGCCGCCAGCCTGGTGGTGGCGCCAGCCGTGTAGCGCCATCCTGATGGCACCAGCCTGGTGCCGCCAGGGGTCGGGTCACATGGAGTTCTGACGTACGTCTGCCCGCAGGTGCTGGACATCGGCTTCAACCTGCTGACCGAGCTACCCGTCAACGCCTTCTCCGGCACGCCGTCGCTCACGCTGCTGGCGCTGGACGGCAACCCGCTGGCGGGCGTGCCCGAGCGCGCCGTCGCGCACCTCAACACCACGCTGCGCGGCCTGTCGCTGGGCGGGCGCTTCCTGGCCTGCGACTGCAGCCTGCGCTGGGTGGCCGAGTGGATCGCCCGCGGCGACCTGCAGGTCACGAGCCGAGAGCGGAACCCGCAGTTCTGCGGCAGCCCCGCCCACCTCAAGGACCGCAGCTTCTACGCCATCCAGCCCGCGGGTGAGGTCGCGTCACGTCGCGGCCGCGGGAACGCGGACGCGACGGAGCGAACGGGACGCTGCTCCAGAGCCGTCGGGTCTCGGTAATACTAACTCTCTTTTGCCTTGCAGAACTCAAGTGCACGGGCGACAAGGAGAAGGAAGTCGAGCAGGCGGACGAGTCCGAGCACCGCCCGCAGGTGCAGGAGGAGCCCGAGGGCGACTCGGACTCCTTGGACTCGGACTTCCACGGCATCCAGGCCAACACGGCCACGTCGCCTACCGCGCCACCCACGACGACGACCACCACCACCACCAGGGCCACGACCGTACCAACGACGACGACCACGACAACGACTACTACCACCGCGCGACCCACGCCGCCACCGACCACGGCCACCGCACCCCCGACCACGACCACAACGACGACGACCACGACCCCAGCGCCAACCACGACAACGACGACCACAACCACGCCCAGGTCGACTTACAGGCCGACGTACAAGACGAGACCATCAACGGTGCCCACGCCACCCTCCACCACGACGACCACCACGTCCACGACGACGCGCAGGGGCAACGGCCTGGTCGCCGCCAGGACGACAGCATCCCCCGGGGTGTGGAGGAGCAATGCGTCGCCGCAGAGCAGCGCCGCCCCGGTCGGCGCCGTGGGCGTTGCCGCCCCCGCAGCGCCGCCCGCGTCCACGGCCGCGCACCCGCCGGGCCACGGCCCTGGCCTCTCGGGCTCGGCCTCCATGCACCGGCCGCCCTTGGTCCTCGGCTTCCCCGGAGGCAGCCCCGCCAAGCACGTCGACCCGGAGGAGGTAAGGCCCGCACCTTGCGGCCCGCTCGCACGCGCACGCGACCCCGAGGAGCTCACGCGTGTTCTCTGTCCAGGAGGTGAAGGTCCGCAGCGCCTACCGCCAGGACAACTCCATCATCATCCAGTGGGACTCGCATACGGCCAACATCCTGGGCTTTCGCGTCGTGTACCGCCTCTTCGGTGACAAGTCCTTCAAGCAGGGCCCACCGCTCGAGGCCAGCGAGCGCGAGTTTAAGATCAAGAACGTACCCGCCCAGGTAAGGGAGACGTGCGAGGGAGGCAGGTTGGGGTGGGGG